TTGAGGACCGCGATGAAGGGTTCACCGTCCCCTCTTACTATGGTCTGGGCCGGAAGTAAATGAGGTCCACTAACCCCGGCCCTAGACGGCCCCAGCAGAACCCCTTGGGCCGCAATACCCTTAGCGAAGGGTCGCCGAAGTTTCAATGGAATCAACATTTGTGCCCCCGGAGAGACGCGCACCGTTCTCTCTACGAATGCCGGCACTGTCGCGAACGCCGTCCGAGTCGTAACGGGTGATGGCAAAAACGCCATGCGTCTGCCCGACGGGAGCTCAATGCATCCCTGGTCGATTAATATCCTAATCGGCATTTTGGCCAGGAAGTCCGTCCCCAGCAGGCACGGAACCGCCAGCGAGGAGGAAACAAAAATCGGCCCAGACAATTTAATTTCCCCAACACAAATTTGGGCCCGAATTTGTCCGATGATGCCAAGTGAGCCCCCGTTAGCCGCATAGAATGGTACGTTAACAGGCATCAAAGGACGGCTCTGGACAGGGAGAATATTGTATATTAACTCCGAAATAATGGTCGCCGATGCTCCCGTATCGACCAGGATGCGCACTTCAACCCCGTCGATGTGCCCCACAACGGCCGACGACCCCGACGATGCGGCTACCACACGATCGGCCAGCACGGACCACTGGCCGGGTTCGATATGAGTACCCAGAGTGGTGCGTGATGGTGCGATGGTGCGCGATATCGGCCCCCCTCTCGTTGCGGTGTTTGAGTGCGTGACGGGCGTGTGCGTGGGCCAAACATGTGGGGTGCCGCGACTCGCCGGGTTATGATGGTGGAGCTTGTGATGAGGCCCGTCGTCCCGTTGAGGTGTCGTCCCGCGCTGACGAGGAGAGCGGCACCCCGAGGCGACGTGGCCCCGGACGCCGCAGTTAAAACACCGCGGGAGCGCCGTCGGAGGTGACGGATGGTCGGAACGGCCCGACCCGTCCCGGCCCGACCGTGCTCCCGTCGCCTGTTGCCGTCGGTGGTCGACGGCGTAGAGCTCCTCCGTCGGAAGGGTGGCTGCAGCCACCGCACGCCCCGCCGATGCCCTGCTGGCTTTCCGCCGGAGCGACAGGAGGTTTGCGTAGAGGAGCCGCGCCGCCTGGAGCGATGTCATTTCCGCGTCCTCCTGCGCGACGACAGCGATGTCAAGGTCGTCTGCCAGGAGGAGGATTTTCTCCGTGACCATAGCATCCACGCCGTCGTCGTCCATACGAGGAAAGGCCGACTTAGCCATCGCCAGGAGGCTCGTCCGGTATGCTAGGGGCGACTCCTTCTCACCCCGCTTGCGGTCGTAAAATTGCTGTCGGCATTCGGCTGATGGTCCATAGACCCCGCCCAGCAGCTGTAGCGCCATCGGTAACGTAGACCGCTTCTCTCTCGGCGCCGATGTGAGTGCGGCGAGCGCGTCGCCGTCGAGGAGCGCCGGCAGCGCACAGAGAGCCTCCTCATCGGACCATTTCGCCATCTCCTGATGGGCGAGGAAACGTCGGCGAAACCCGGCCCAGTCTCCCTCCGCGCCGATGAACTCCTTCAGCGGGGGCAGTCTCTGATGAAGCGCAGCGGTTGTTGTAGACTCCCGCAGGCAGATGTCACCACCACTCGGCTGTGCGTCGGTGCGAACGGCCGATGGGATCGCCTGTCGCGGTTGTGATGACGCACCCTCCGGCGGTGATGACGCTGCAGCTCCAGCGACGGCGATGTCGGAGCAGATGTTCAGGCTGGCCACGCCCTGAACAGCTGTAGCGTCGATGGCGGGAATTTCAAATTCGGACTGCTCCGAAATGGCGGGAAGGCGCCCTGGTCGTTGGCTCGCCTCGCCCCGTGTTGGATCACCGGCCCCCAATCGCGTGATGGTCTCCAGCGTGGCGGCAGCGGCATACAGCAGCTCCGCCAGCCTCCCGTGAGCCAGCCGTAACGCGTCTGACTGCGGCCCCTCTTCATTTCGATGCCCCGGTAAGGAGGCGTCAGGCCCCGGCTGCACCATGTCTTGTGGAGCCGTCTCGGGCTCGACGATCTCGGCAGTGTCTTCCTCCTGCGGTACTTTTGCCCGCGCTGTTTTCCGCGTGTCCATGTTCGAATTACTTCTGACACCAGTTGAAGTACCGGTGAAGACGCTTGACGCCGAGGTTGAGGCACACGTATATTTATTTCACAATACGACAGTGGGCATATACACACTCGAGGGGGTATCGGCCCCCTCACCCGTATAACTCGGGATACACCCCTAGCTAACTCTGTCCTAGCCCCGAATCCTCCACTAATGGGCTAGGGGAGGCTAACTGGCCCGACACTGGTAAGTCGGGCCCGGTACCCGGAGTTCCAGACCAGCTCTTACAAGAGCACCGGCTCTGGCTTTCGGGACCACGCCGCTGGCTCAGTCCTGTCCGGCCCTGAAAAGGACATCGAACTAGGGGAGTCCAGGGCTCTATCTAAGACGTCTTCAGTCTTCTTCCCTTAGCTTAAACATAACTGACTCGAGCCCTTTGAACATCCCCTTTATACCCAACCCCTCCCTGAGGGGTGGGGCCCCGGGGGATCATAACGTTCGAACCAGCCCCCCCCAGGGTGTCTGGCTCGGACGTCGTAGAGGGCACCTCCTCGTGTACTTACGTAGCCCCGCCCACTGTGTTTGTTTTCCATAGGCTGCCATGCATAACGGGCCCTCTCTTTAACACCCCTACAGACTCAACACTGCACCATAGACTCAACACTGCCCATAGACTCAACACTGCCCATAGACTCAACACTGCACCATAGACTCAGCACTGCCCATAGACTCAACACTGCACCATAGACTCAACACTGCACCATAGACTCAACACTGCCCATAGACTCAACACTGCACCATAGACTCAACACTGCCCATAGACTCAACACTGCCCCATAGACTCAACACTGCACCTGCAAATCATCTGCAAATCACGGACTGGACGTTAGAGGACACTCCTTACCTCACGTTTTCTCTCACAAGTGGTGAGATCACATCCCTAGCGGGTCGTCATCGTCGATAATTTATCAATAAAAATCCATCGCAGGCGTCTGCATCCCCCCAACGAATTTTAAAATATCACGACGTTTCGGAGGCAACACAAGCTTCCGTCTTCAGGTGGAACCGTCACAGCACGATTGCTGTATCAAGTAAATTATATTTTTATATTACTTTTATTAATTTAGATTTCTCACCTACGTGACTTTACCGAAAAAACCAGAGAGTACGACTCATTGCAGTCACCAAAGCTTTAAATCTAGAATGAGGCTGGGCGCTACCCATGGGCTGTTCGCTGGGGATCATCAACAGGGCTTCACTAATTCTAGATTTGAAACATTCGTGACTGCAAGTATTCATATTCTTGGTTCTTTCGGTAAAGTCACGTAGAATGGAAATAATAAAATAATAAAAATAAAACATAATAAAATAATTCTCACGACGTTTCGGCCACAACGCAAGCAGCCGTCCTCAGACGCTGTCGCCTCGACAGACCTGGTTTTCACCTGAGGACGGCTGCTTGCGTTGTGGCCGAAACGTCGTGAGAATTGTTTTATTATGTTTTATTTGTATTATTTTATTACTTCCCTTCTACGTGACTTTACCGAATGAACCAAGAAGATGAATCCCTGCAGTCACGAAACCCACCACCATCACCACCATCACCACCATCACCATCATCACCATCACCACCATCACCACCTCCACCACAACCACCACCACCTCAACCACCACCACCATCACCACCTCCACAACCACAACCATCACCACCACCATCACCACCTCCACCCCCCACCATCATCATCACCACCATCACCACCACCTCCACCACCATCACCACCACCACCACCACCCTCACCACCACCACGCTCACCACCTCCTCCACCTGCTTCTGTGAGGCTATATTGCATGCACAATAGTGACTTACCGCGCACACTGAAACTGTACCGCACGCACCGTGCACACTGTACGTGCTGCTGTGTGTACACAGTGCACACTGTACGTGCTGCTGTGTGTACAGTGCACACTGTACGTGCTGCTGTGTGTACACAGTGCACACTGTACGTGCTGCTGTGTGTACAGTGCACACTGTACGTGCTGCTGTGTGTACACAGTGCACACTGTACGTGCTGCTGTGTGTACACAGTGCACACTGTACGTGCTGCTGTGTGTACACAGTGCACACTGTACGTGGTGCTGTGTGTACACAGTGCACACTGTACGTGCTGCTGTGTGTGCACAGTGCACACTGTACGTGGTGCTGTGTGTGCACAGTGCACACTGTACGTGGTGCTGTGTGTGCACAGTGCACACTGTACGTGCTGCTGTGTGTACACAGTGCACACTGTACGTGCTGCTGTGTGTACACAGTGCACACTGTACGTGGTGCTGTGTGCACAGTGCACACTGTACGTGGTGCTGTGTGCACACTGTACGTGGTGCTGTGTACACAGTGCACACTGTACGTGGTGCTGTGTGTACAGTGCACACTGTACGTGCTGCTGTGTGTACACAGTGCACACTGTACGTGCTGCTGTGTGCACAGTGCACACTGTACGTGGTGCTGTGTGCACACTGTACGTGGTGCTGTGTGCACAGTGCACACTGTACGTGGTGCTGTGTGCACACTGTACGTGGTGCTGTGTGCACAGTGCACACTGTACGTGCTGCTGTGTGTACACAGTGCACACTGTACGTGCTGCTGTGTGCACAGTGCACACTGTACGTGGTGCTGTGTGCACAGTGCACACTGTACGTGCTGCTGTGTGCACAGTGCACACTGTACGTGGTGCTGTGTGCACAGTGCACACTGTACGTGGTGCTGTGTGCACAGTGCACACTGTACGTGGTGCTGTGTATGCACATTACGTACAGAGAGATACGGGGAGAGACACGGGGGGAGAGACACGGGGAGAGACACGGGGAGAAAGACAAGGTGGAGAGTGAGAGACACGGTGGAGAGAGACACGGGGAGAGAGATGGGGCGAGATGAGGAGGGATGGGGAGAGAGAGACAGAGCGAGTACTGTTAAGGTAGTGAATGCACCACCACGACCACCACCACCTCGAACCACCATCATCATCACCACCACAACCACTATCACCACCACCATCACCTCCACTATTACAATCACCAACTCCACGACCATCACCACCACCATCACCACGACCATAACCACCTTTACAACCATCACCACCTCAACCACCACCATCACCACCACCATCACCACCATCACCACCACCATAACCACCATCATCACTACCACCACCATCACCACCACCATCACCACCACTACAACCATCACCACCTCCACAACCATCACCATCACCACCACCACCATCACCACCATCTCCACCACCATCACCACCACCATCACCACCTCCACAACCATCACCACCTCCACAACCATCACCACCACCATCATCACCACCATCACCACCTTTACAACCCTCACCACCTCAACCACCATCACCACCACCATCACCACCACGACCACCATCACCACCATCACCACCATAACCACCATCATCACCACCACCACCATCACCACCACCTCCACCACCACCATCACCACCACCACCACCATCACCACCACCACCACCACCACCTCCACCTCAACCACCATCACCAGCATCACCACCATCACCACCATCACCGCCACCACCATCACCACCACCACCATCACCACCACCATCACCGCCACCACCATCGCCGCCACCACCATCGCCACCACCATCACCGCCACCACCATCACCGCCACCACCATCACCATCATCACCACCATCAGCACCACCACCATCACCATCATCACCATCATCACCACCACCACCATCATCACCATCATCACCATCATCACCACCACCACCATCATCACCATCATCACCATCATCACCACCACCACCACCACCATCATCACCATCATCACCACCATCACCACCACCACCATCATCACCATCACCACCACCATCACCACCACCACCATCACCACCATCTCCACCACCATCACCACCACCATCACCACCTCCACAACCATCACCACCTCCACAACCATCACCAACACCATCATCACCACCATCACCACCTTTACAACCCTCACCACCTCAACCACCATCACCACCACCATCACCACCACCACCACCATCACCACCATCACCACCATAACCACCATCATCACCACCACCACCATCACCACCACCTCCACCACCACCATCACCACCACCTCCACCACCACCATCACCACCACCACCACAACCATCACCACCACCACCTCCACCTCAACCTCAACCACCATCACCAGCATCACCACCATCACCACCATCACCGCCACCACCATCACCACCACCATCACCGCCACCACCATCACCGCCACCACCATCACCACCACCATCATCACCACCATCAGCACCACCACCACCATCATCACCATCATCACCATCATCACCACCACCACCATCATCACCATCATCACCATCATCACCACCACCACCACCACCATCATCACCACCATCACCACCACCACCATCATCACCATCATCACCATCATCACCACCACCACCACCATCATCACCATCATCACCACCATCACCACCATCATCACCATCATCACCACCATCACCACCATCATCACCACCATCACCACCACCACCATCATCACCATCATCACCATCATCACCATCACCACCACCACCACCATCATCACCATCATCACCACCATCACCACCATCACCACCACCACCATCATCACCATCATCACCACCATCACCACCATCACCACCATCATCATCACCATCATCACCATCATCACCACCATCACCACCATCATCATCACCACCACCTCCACCACCACCATCACCACCACCTCCACCACCACCATCACCACCACCACCACAACCATCACCACCACCACCTCCACCTCAACCTCAACCACCATCACCAGCATCACCACCATCACCACCATCACCGCCACCACCATCACCACCACCATCACCGCCACCACCATCACCGCCACCACCATCACCACCACCATCATCACCACCATCAGCACCACCACCACCATCATCACCATCATCACCATCATCACCACCACCACCATCATCACCATCATCACCATCATCACCACCACCACCACCACCATCATCACCACCATCACCACCACCACCATCATCACCATCATCACCATCATCACCACCACCACCACCATCATCACCATCATCACCACCATCACCACCATCATCACCATCATCACCACCATCACCACCATCATCACCACCATCACCACCACCACCATCATCACCATCATCACCATCATCACACCACCACCACCATCATCACCATCATCACCACCATCACCACCATCACCACCACCACCATCATCACCATCATCACCACCATCACCACCATCACCACCATCATCATCACCATCATCACCATCATCACCACCATCACCACCATCATCATCACCATCATCACCACCATCACCACCATCACCACCACCATCACCACCACCATCACCACCATCACCACCACCATCATCACCATCATCACCACCATCACCACCATCACCACCATCATCATCACCATCATCACCATCATCACCACCATCACCACCATCATCATCACCATCATCACCACCATCACCACCATCACCACCACCATCACCACCATCACCACCACCATCATCACCATCATCACCACCATCACCACCATCACCACCATCATCATCACCATCATCACCATCATCACCACCATCACCACCATCATCATCACCACCATCACCACCATCACCACCATCACCACCACCATCACCACCACCATCACCACCATCACCACCACCATCACCACCACTCACCTTCTCTCTGTGTCTCTCTCGCTCCGCACCTCAATCCACTCCCTCCACTCGCCCTCACACCAACAAACTCCCCCCACCCACAAGTGGCCACGTGACTGCCCCTCCCCCCATCACGTGACTGCCCCTCCCCCCCATCACGTGACTGCCCCTCCCCCCCATCACGTGGTGGGGGTCAAAAATCGTCCCTTCAATATTTTTCACTCCCCACCACCACCACCACCCACCACCACCACCACCCCCCACCACCACCACCACCCCCACCACCCCCACCACCCCCCACCACCACCACCCCCACCACCCCCCACCACCACCACCCCCCCACCACCCCCACCACCACCCCCCCCACCACCACCACCCCCCACCACCACCCCCCCCCCCCACCACCACCACCCCCACCACCCCCCACCACCACCCCCCACCACCCCCCACCACCACCACCCCCCACCACCCCCACCACCCCCCACCACCACCACCCACCACCCCCACCACCCCCCACCACCCCCACCACCCCCCACCACCACCACCCCCCACCACCCCCACCACCACCCCCACTACCCCCACCCCCCACCACCACCCCCACCACCCGCCAACACCACCACCCCCCACCACCCGCCAACACCACCACCCCCCACCACCCCCCACCACCCCCACCACCACCCCCCACCACCACCCACCACCCCCCACCACCCCCACCACCACCCCCACCACCACCAGGAGGGGTGAGGGGCGGGGGGCGGGGGGCGAGGGGGGCGGGGTTTGGGGATGAACTCAAGTGACCCGACAGATGTTGAGCGCAATTCTTTGTTTATTTCGGTAACGTCGCGTAGATAGGGAACACAATATTAATAATAAAATAGTAAAATATAAAAATGTAATAAAATACCAAAAAATAAATTAACAAATAAATAAATAATACCCCCGTTGACAGGAAGAGGGAAAAAAATCCCCTCCCCCACAATTTGGCGCCCTTTGCACGACGCGACTCGGTGAGCAGCTCAGTTCAAACGGCGTGAACACGCGGGACGCATCGTGGGTGATCACCATCAACATCAACAACATCATCATCAACAACATTAACTACATCATCAACAACATCATCAACAACATCATCACCACCAACAACAACATCATCAACAACATTAACTACATCATCAACAACAACATCATCATCAACAACATTAACTACATCATCAACAACATTAACTACATCAACAACAACAACATCATCATCAACAACATCAACAACACCATCATCATCAACAACATCATCAACACAATCACCATCATCACCTCCTCCTGCCCGGCCCCACCCTCCCCTCTTGTTGTCTCCCGCAGCTCGAGCCGGCGGCGGCTACGAGCAGCAGCAGCATCATCATCAGCAGCAGGAGCAGCAGCATCATCAGCAGCAGCAGCATCATCATCAGCAGCATCATCAGCAGCAGCATCATCAGAATCATCATCAGCAGCATCATCAACATCAGCATCATCAGCAGCAGCAGCATCATCATCATGGCCACGTGGACGCTGTGCTTGGGCAGCAGGACCAGCTTGATCTCCATGGCCGGCATCCGCTACGAGGGCACCCTGAGCGGGGTCAACACGGACGACTGCACCGTCGCCTTGGCCAAAGGTCACGCACGGGGGGGTGGGGGGGGGGTCACGGGTCAAAGGGGGTGAGGGTTTAAACACTTCCCTGCTCCTGCGGAGGGAGCTGCTAGGAACACGTTGGCCAGGGTCAACGACGGTGACCAGGGCGTGGGGCGTGCTGTGTTCTGCAAACATGGCCGACTGTGAGGGCGGGCAGCACAAGGCGGCGTGAGTAGGTGAAACGTTGAGTTTTATAAGGGCACCACGGGGTGAGCAGCCCCTCCCCACTCAGCCCCTCCCAACCCAGCCCCTCCCACCCCCCACCCAGCCCCACCCTCCCCACCCAGCCCCTCCCAACCCAGCCCCTCCCACCCCCCACCCAGCCCCACCCTCCCCACCCAGCCCCACTGCAGGGATTCATCTTCTTGGTTCTTTCGGTAAAGTCACGTAGAAGGGAAATAATAAAATAATAAAAATAAAACATAATAAAATAATTCTCACGACTTTTCGGCCACAACGCAAGCAGCCGTCCTCAGGTGAAGAACAGGTCTGTCGAGAAGACAGAGTCTGAATGACACGCCCCAGGCTTGGAACGTCTATTTAAGCTTAGAGTCGTGGCATCTCTTCAGAAAGGTGAGAGACTCGATTATCCCGGAGTTTGTTGAAGGATCTTAAAGTTTTGTGTTCTTCACCTGAGGACGGCTGCTTGCGTTGTAGCCGAAACGTCGTCAGAATTATTTTATTACGTTTTATTTTTATTATTTTATTACTTCCCTTCTACGTGACTTTACCGAAAGAACCAAGAAGATGAATCCCTGCAGTCACGAAAGCTTTAAATCGAAAAAAGTCAGTGATTGCTTTCGTGTTAAAATACGGTGCTGTATTTTAGGATAGTGTGTTTACAATATCATTTTACGTAGATATCCACATTCACTTAATATTTTTCTTCCGCAAGTTTTTTTTGAAAATGCAATATTTGACATCATCTCAAAAACCCGATGTGATAGACAAAAACCGACGCCAGGGTTGGGATGAAACGCACGACCTCCGATAGACACCAGGCGAGGTGGTTCACTTCTCACCACGGTGGCGCCCACACACCCACCACCACCACGGCACCGTTAGCGGCGTTAGCGGCGTCTTTGTGCGTGCGCAGTGCGTGTGTGCGGCACGGAGGGTCGCCCCGCCGAGCGAGCCGTCGCCCCTCGCGAGGAGATCTACGACTACATCATCTTCCGTGCCAGCGAGATCAAGGACCTGGCGGAGTTGGGGTGCCCGCTCTCCGCTCTGCACCCCCACCTGGCCGTCGTGCAGGTGAGAGGGGGGCAGCCGTTCTCTTCGCCGCCAAACTGGTTGGTTACTTTAGCGGGCAGGACCCCACCGAGATATTTAACTCTGATCATTGGTTGTTTACCCTGTAATCTGGCAACAAAACTGACACCTTTTTTTACAAGGAGTCGTGTTTGCATTGACCACAATACCTGCGGTCGGAATGCAAACAAAAAACACAACTCTGATAATGTATGCACTGTCCTTGAAATTGATTGGTCCATACCCGAGACAGCTTTCCTTAGAGCCTAGTCTCACATGGAGTTGGACAAGATGACTGCCAAAAGGCGCACAACTCAAAGACAATGCACCATCAGAGTATGAGAGCTCGGAGTAAAGCATTTACACCATTGGAACCTCATTTGCCAGTAGAAAAATATGATAATTGTTTTTTTACCCTTCTATCTGGCAACAAAACTGACACCTTTTTTACAAGGAGTCATGTTTGCATAGACCACAATACTTGCAGTTGGAATGCAAACAAAAAACATAACTCTGATAATGTACGCACTGTCCTTGAAGTTGATTGGTCCACACCCGAGACAGCTTTCCTTGAGGCCAGTCTCACATGGTGTTGGACCAGATGACGCCAAAAGGCTCACAACTCAAAACATGACTCCTTGTAAAAAAGGTGTCAGTTTTGTTGCCAGATAAAAGTGTAATAAAGGACTCGGACGCTTCTCTCTGACTTCGTGTCCTTTATTGGGTTCTTGTCTTTTCCCACACGGCACTCTCTTATAGACACTCTATTTGTAGCCCCCGGCTGCTATCGCTATTGTAGCCTCCTTCCTCTCCCTGCAGACTCTCTGCTTTCTCTATTGTAACCTCCTTCCTCTCCCTGCAGACTCGCTGCTGACTCCCTGTGCAGATCCCCGCTGCTTACTCTATATGCAGACCCTCTTGGCTGCTACTCCGTATGCAGACCCGCTGCTGACTCTGTATGCAGCCCCGCTGCTGACTGCAGCCTCCTCGCTGCTTCGGGTCGGTCACCGCTGGCCGACGGTGCCGATCCTCGCTCCCCGTGTCCGTGGCGATCTCGCCACCCTCCGCTTTCGCCCTTCGTGGCCTCTCTCGTTCCTGGTCTCCCATCACTCCCTTTCCTCTTCCGGTTCCCCTCCCTCTATAGCTTAACCCCTCTCCCCCACGTGACCTAACTCCTCCCCTCATGACGTCACTTCCGGAGGGCCGTTTACGCCCGCATTACAAAAGGATAAAAAACCAATTATCATATTTGTTGTTACTGGACACGCTACGATTGATCCCGTCGCTGCGTGACCACCCACCCTCGCCCCCGTCCAGTCCTCCTCGTCACGGGGCGCCCGCCCCCTGCGGGACACGCAGCACGGAGCCCGCGGCGGCCACGGGGGCGGCACGCGCGGAGCCCGCCGGCTCGTGCGGGACACGGCGGACGGGCGGCGGCCTGCACACGGAGGAGCCACAGGTACGGGCGGCGCGGTAAACGCTGGGGATGCAAAGGTGGCCGGGCGTTGTACCGCCCGCCCACCCGCCCCCCTCTTGCAGCCAGCAGCCTTTGCAGGTGCTCGCTAACGGAGCTTATCCTGACGTCGTACGGAAATCCGATGTTTTTTTATTTAAATCCTTTATATTAAGTTCACTTGCTTGCGCGCTTAGGACCGTGCAAATCTTTCGGCCGTTTTTTAACCCACTTCCCGTGATGCAATCGAGCTGATATTTTGCACACAGACTCGTTGTGCGTGACAATTTATGTTCGTGAATTTTTTTTCCAAAATTTTACACTTTTTAGGACAAAAATATTATATTTAATTACCAATTTCTTAATGCTGCCACGCAATCATCTGACCCATAGGTGGCAGCCATCTCAAGCCAGAGGACGAGAGGACTCTAGCCGCCACGCATATAAAGGATTTATAGTGAAAAACTTAGTTTTTACGGGTTATACTTGTTTAAATCCTTTATATTAAGTTAGCTTGCTTGCTTGCGCGCTTACGACCATGCAAAATTTTCGGTCGTTTTTTAACCCACTTCCCATGATCCGATCGAGCTGACATTTTGCACACAGACTCGTTGTGCGTGACAATTAATGTTCGTAAAAAAATTTCATATTTAATTTAAAATACCAATGTGATAAAAATGAAACTCTTACTCAAGAAAAACAGAAATGAATAATAAAATAAAACCGATGCCACGCATATAAAGGATTTATAGTGAAAAACACATGCACACACACACACGCGCACACACGCACTCACACACACTCACACACACACACGCACACACTCACACGCTCACACGCACACACACACACTCACACACGCACTCACACACTCACGCACACACTCACTCACGCACACACGCACACTCACACACGCACACACTCACGCACACACGCACACTCACACACACTCACACACACACACTCACACACACTCACACACACACAATCACACACACACTCACACACACTCACACACACACTCACACACACTCACACACACTCACACACACACTCACACACACACACTCACACACTCACACGCAGCTGCACTATCTCCCACAGCCGCGAGGAAGAGCGCCACGGTGGAGCGGGGGGTGCAGACGTCCCCCCAGCGTCAGCAGCGACGGTGTCGGAGCACGAAGCGGATTGCCGCCCAGACTCCCCGTGGGGCCCCGGAGCCGTGCGTTGAGTTGGACGCGGAGTTTGACTTTGCGAGCGCCAACGCGAAGTTGGACCGCGAGGCGCTGGACAGGGAGTTCCGGGGCAGGGAGGCCAAGCGGAGAGAAGGTGGGGCACTCACTCACACGCTGCCGCCACTGATCAACAACTAAGTCACGTAGGTAAAAAATTAAAATTAATAAAAGTAAAATAAAAAAAAATAAAAAATCACGACGTTTCGATTAATTTTAATTTTGCTGCTGTATCGTCAAAATAGAAATCTTGTCACTCAATTTTTAGAAACTTCCCAATGTGGTACCCACTGCAAACTTGGTAAAGCTGCGTCATACTGGGGTGGGGGAACTCACTCACACGCTGCCGCCACTCAACAACTCACTTCGTCCTCCGCTGCTGTATCGGCAAAATAGAAATCTTAGTAGTAGGTTTTTACCCTTTTAAACTGGTACAAAACTGACACCTTTATTCAAGGCATCATGTTTGCAATAACCACAACACAAGTAGTCAACAAAGCAAACAAAAAGAAGCAACTCTGATAATGATAATAATATGCACTGTCCTTATCATCATTATCAGAGTTGCTTCTTTTTGTTTGCTTTTTTGACTACTTGTGTTGTGGTTATTGCAAACATGATGCCTTGAATAAAGGTGTCAGTTTTGTACCAGTTTAAAAGGGTAAAAACCTACTACTATATTTTGCCAATGGTAAAAGAGATCTCATAGAATAGAAATCTTGTCACTCAATTTTGACACACTTCTCAATGTGGTACCGACTGCAAACTTGTCATCATCACGGTGGCTATGAGATGTTAACTACCTCGCCTGGTGTGCAGGAGGGCGTGGGTTCGATCCCAACCCTGACGATGCCTGCTGCTGTATATTTGGAGTTTGTGTGTTTCTCTCATCATCATCATCACGGTGGCTAGGAGATGTTGACTAACTAAATTACCTTAAAACCGTTGGAATACCTTATGCCAGTAAAAGTGTGTTGACCATCTTCTTGGATCTTTCGGTAAAGTCATCACGTAGAAGGGAAATAATAAAATAATAAAAATAAAACATTAAATAATTCTCACGACGTTTCGGCCACAACGCAAGCAGCCGTCCTCAGGCGAAGACCAGGTCTGTCGAGGAGACAGCGTCTGAATGTGTGTTGACCAGTGGAGTCTTGAGTTGGGTGGGGGGGGCGGATCTTTGTGTGTTTAATTGTCCAGGCCACCCCCTCACTTCTGCCGTTGCGTCTCCCCTTGAGCAGCGGACAAGCTGAGGGGTCCCCGCACGAGCTCCCCCGTCTTCCTGGACGGCTGCTTCTACGACAAAACCAGGAGCTTCTTTGACAACATTTCCAAAGACGGCGGGAGGTAACGGCCGCCTCTGCCACTCGCTCGTGGTGTGTGTGTGTTCTTGTTGGATCTCCTCGCCTTCAAGTGCAACGCCTGCTGGGGGAGGCGATGGGGGAGGCGGCAGTACAGCAAGCGGGCTCCGTCTCCGTCTGTGCGGAGATGGTGTTGCTGTTCCACCCCCACCCCCCACCTCGTGTATAGAAACTCACAAACGGAGTTGGCCTAACCATCCCATTATAGGATGACAGAGCTTGGGCAAATTGTTTGTGCCGTTCCTGGCACATCTGGAAAGTTTGGGCGTCGCAAAAATGTGTGACGTTAACTTGAATCGGCGCGCCAAAAAAAATTGCACGCCGCGTGAATTGCGTAGTTGCACTTGATTCGGAAAAAATCCCAGCCCCGAGAATAAGAGAAGGACGTGCAACTCTTTGACTGGGCACCAGACGAACATTTGTCTAGACGCAGGATGGCGTGGAGCCGTGCAGAGACCTCTCTGATGTCGGGTTTAGACCATTGGAACATCATTTGTCAGCAGTAGCAGAATATGATCATTGTTTTTTTACCCTTTTATCTGTCAACAAAACTGACACCTTTTTTACGAGGAGTCGTGTTTGCATTGACCACAATACCTGCGGTCATAATGCAAACAAAAAGACAACTCTGATAATGTATGCACTGTCCTTGAAGTTGATTGGTCCACACCCGAGACAGCTTTCCTTAGAGCCTAGTTTCACATGGGTTGGACCAGATGACGCATTATGGCTGCAGGTATTGTGGTCTATGCAAAGGTGTCAGTTTTGTTTGCCAGATAAAAGGGTAAAAAACCAATTATAATATTTTTTGCTGGCAAATGAGGTTCCAATGGTAGCCATTTGCCACCCTGGTGCGGCCGGGTACGGGTAGGCCGTGAGTCACTGGTGAGTCACCGTTTGTCACTCATTTCGGGTAGGGTACGGGTAGGGAACGGGTAGGGTACGGGTAGGGTACGGGTAGGGTACGGGTAGGGTACGGGTAGGGTACGGGTAATGAACGGGTAGGGTACGGGTAGGGTACGGGTACCCGTTTGCGACCCTGGTGCGGCCGGGTACGGGTAAGGAATCAAAACCCATCTGCGACCTCTGACCAGCCGTGCTCACCCCCCCACCCCCCGCCCCTCCCCCCTCCTCCTCCTCCCGCCCCGCCAGGAACTGCCGCGTGACGTTGGCGGAGCAGCGGCGCCTGAACGTGGCGACGTTCGGGGCGGACCTCCCCTCCTCTGGCCGAGGTGCAGCCTAGACAGGTGACGACCACGGTGACGGTGACAGCAGCTCGGCTTATTGGAGAGTATATTTAGTATATTGATGATACTGATGTAGTTTATATTTTAGTTTTTTTACGTGGTGGCTTAGTTGCTGCAGCTCCCATACTATTAACATTCCTTCCCTTTCTAGATTTGAAGCTTTCGTGACTGCAAGGATTCGTATTCTTAGGTTTTTTCGGTAAAGTCACGTAGGTAAAAAAAAAAATGTATTAATAAAAGTTACATAAAATAAAAATCACGACGTTTCGGAGGCAACACAAGCTTCCGGAAGCTTTTTTTATTTAACTTTTATTAATTTAAATTTTTTTACCTACGTGACTTTATCGAAAAAAACCTAAGAATATGATTCCTTCCCTTTATTAATGCTACCCCTACTCCCTCCCTTTGATGCTGCTAATCCTGCATAATATGACTTTGAAACCCCCCGCCCACCTCCTACACATTCCACAAGTAGTGACTAATCCCATATCTGAATTTCCTATAAATATACTACATTCCTCTGTTGATATGTGAGTCCCTTTGTCAAGGCGCTCTTCCTCCTCTAACCCAGCTTAAATATACGCTGCCAAGCTTAGTGGTGTTCATTCAGACGCTGTCTTTCCGGCTGCAACACGATAACGGAAGTCTGTTGATGTTGCTTGTGAGGTTCTCCTCGTGAGAACACGCTGCTCCGTGGAGGATGAGAGAGAGACCATTTGACGGGGTATGCCGATAGCATAAAAATGAGATGCGACGGACGGAGCAAATCTGAGATCAGATTTGAAATCGGCACCCTGAATTTAGTCCAGAACAGCTGCAAAAGTCCAGGCCAGAACTACATGTTGTTGTTTTGTTTTGTTGACCAGTGTGATATAATTTGCGTATTATATCGTGAACAACTTCTAAATCAAAGAGCGCTCGCACAGCTGCGTGGGTCTCACCCGGTGAGATAAAGATGTGGAGGAGTTTGTTTCAAACGGCAGTCGCTTGTCAACGCTCTCGTGCCCCACGTTAGAGATTGGATGACACGGAGAAATGTCGGCCACAATCGGCAATTCTCCAAGTGACAATCCAGCCCTTTGCGGGGTTTGACCACGATCTGTCGTGTTGCTTCTTGACGTCGCCAATGCCGCTCACTGCTGCTGTTGTTGTTGTTGTTGCAGGTTGCAGAGAACCACAGCTCACACCCAGAGCGTACACATATCGGGGGTTTGTTTGATTTAAGAAAAAATGTTGTTGGGTCTGAAGAAACGTTACGTTAAGGACTGCATGTGGGTTTCGATTTAAAGATTCTTTCGTGACTGCAGGGATTCATCTTCTTGGTTCTTTCGGTAAAGTCACGTAGAAGGAAAATAATAAAATAATAAAAACATAATAAAATACAATTCTCACCACGTTTCGGCCACAACGCAAGCAGCCGTCCTCAGGTGAAGAACAGGTCTGTCGGAAAGACAGCGTCTGTCTTTCCGACAGACCTGTTCTTCACCACAACGCAAGCAGCCGTCCTCAGGTGAAGAACAGGTCTGTCGGAAAGACAGCGTCTGTCTTTCCGACAGACCTGTTCTTCACCACAACGCAAGCAGCCGTCCTCAGGTGAAGAACAGGTCTGTCGGAAAGACAGCGTCTGTCTTTCCGACAGACCTGTTCTTCACCACAACGCAAGCAGCCGTCCTCAGGTGAAGAACAGGTCTGTCGGAAAGACAGCGTCTGTCTTTCCGACAGACCTGTTCTTCACCACAACGCAAGCAGCCGTCCTCAGGTGAAGAACAGGTCTGTCAGAAAGACAGCGTCTGAATGAACACCACCAAGCTTGGCAGCAATATACACAGCAATATACGCTGCCAAACCTGGTGGTGTTTCATTCAGACGCTGTCTTTCCGACAGACCTGTTCTTCACCTGAGGACGGCTGCTTGCGTTGTGGCCGAAACGTCGTGAGAATTGTATTTTATTATGTTTTATTATTTCCCTTCTACGTGACTTTACCGGAAGAACCAAAAAGTCTGCATGTGGGTTTTGTTAATTGATACGCGATTCTTGCAATGTTTATGGTGTGTACACAAGGTACACACCGCGTTTGGTTGAACACTTTAGACGTTTATAATTTTAAAGAAAGTTTTTTACTTTAGTCTAATGGATGAAGGCAAAACATGTCTGTTAAGTCGGACTTTAAATTGTTTCCTGAAATGGGTGCTTTTGTGCGACCGGTCTTAATCTGAAATGAGCATGGACATGACAATTTAATTGAGTTGTGTTTGTATTTCACAAGGCAGCATTAAATGTTGCGGAATTTATATTGGCGCATTGGCCGTGGTGAAGTGTCTGGCGAAGATTAAAGTTGACCGGCTGTTGGCTTTAGAACATTGCTTCTTTGAATTTACTGCGTTGCTTTAGATTGCTAGTGTGTGTAGTGTGTGTACTGTGTGTGTAGTGTGTGTGTAGTGTGTGTGTACTGTGTGTGTACTGTGTGTGTACTCTGTGTGTGTACTCTGTGTGTACACTGTGTGTGTGTACTGTGTGTGTGTGTACTGTGTGTGTGTACTGTGTGTGTGTAGTGTGTGTGTAGTGTGTGTGTACTGTGTGTGTGTACTCTGTGTGTGTGTAGTGTGTGTGTAGTGTGTGTGTAGTGTGTGTGTACTGTGTGTGTGTACTCTGTGTGTGTGTACTGTGTGTGTGTACTGTGTGTGTGTACTGTGTTAATTTGTGTCTGACCAGCTAGTTGTGCCTCTGGCTTGTTCCATCTGGCCCGGCCCTCTAGCTGCTACCGTAGGCGCACACCAGCTCAACATCCCTGGTGAGTCGCTACAGTCAGCAGCTGCCAACGCCGAACCCCGGGCGGCGGATAACTAACCCGGCAAACTCGGCTAGTCTGAGCCTGGGCGTGTGGAACCCCTGGTGGAGGAAATTCCACCAAAACGGGTCTTTGGACCTTCCACAGTTCCACTGCAACCAGGACCATCTCCAGTCGTCTTGACTACGTCTCGCCACTGGGTACAGATGCGGCTGGTCGAGAGAGTGAGGTTGACGCTGCGCAAATCACCCTCACTTCAATCCAAGTTCTCTGCGCAAGTCATAGCACTTTATTTACCATCGTCATTATAGTGTATAGTTATAGTAGTGTAGTGTATAGTAGTGTAGTGTATAGTGTAGTGTATAGTAGTGTATAGTGTATAGTAGTGTATAGTAGTGTAGTGTATAGTAGTGTATAGTAGTGTATAGTGTAGTGTATAGTAGTGTATAGTAGTGTAGTGTATAGTGTAGTGTATAGTAGTGTAGTGTATAGTAGTGTAGTGTATAGTGGTGTAGTGTATAGTAGTGTAGTGTATAGTAGTGTAGTGTATAGTAGTGTAGTGTATAGTGTAGTGTATAATAGTGTAGTGTATAGTAGTGTAGAGTATAGTAGTGTAGTGTATAGTAGTGTATAGTGTAGTGTATAGTAGTGTAGTGTATAGTAGTGTAGTGTATAGTAGTGTATTGTAGTGTAGTGTATAGTAGTGTAGTGTATAGTGGTGTAGTGTATAGTAGTGTAGTGTATAGTGGTGTAGTGTATAGTATAGTGTATAGTAGTGGTGTATAGTAGTGTAGTGTACAGTGTATAGTAGTGTAGTGTATAGTAGTGTAGTGTATAGTAGTGTAGTGTATAGTAGTGCAGTGTATAGTGTATAGTAGTGTAGTGTATAGTAGTGTAGTGTATAGTAGTGTAGATTTGTTTCTTGAAATAATTCCCGACGCCCCCCCGAGCTCACAGCCTCTCACGGCCGCGTGCGTGCCTCCCAGTGTGCACCACCAAACGTATTCGGTTAGACCCCCTCCCTAGCTAGACTCACTCCCCGTGAGTCACCGAATGCCGCTGAAGGTGGCGACGCAAAGCAAACCCGTTGCCGCACACTGCGCACACGTACGGCCTCTCCCCCGTGTGCTTCCTTGCGTGCACGTGCAAGCTGTCCACCTGCGTGAACCCCTGCCCGCACTCGTCGCACACGTACGTTCTCTCGCCCGCGTGCGTCCTGGCGTGCCTCTTCATGTCGGAGCAGCCGGGAAAACTCTTCCCGCAATCCTCGCAAACGTACGGCCTCTCGTCCATGTGCGACCTCACTCGCAGGTTCAAGTTGCAGGCCTGCGCGGAGCCCTTCCCGTACTCCTCGCAAACGTACGACCTCTCGTCCGTGTGCGACCTCACTCGCAGGTTCAAGTTGCAGGCCTGCGCGGAGCCCTTCCCGTACTCCTCGCAAACGTACGACCTCTCGTCCGTGTGCGACCTCACTCGCAGGTTCAAGTTGCAGGCCTGCGCGGAACCCTTCCCGTACTCCTCGCAAACGTACGACCTCTCGTCCGTATGCGACCTCACTCGCAGGTTCAAGTTGAAGTCGTGCGCAAAGCCCTTGCCGCACTCGGCGTACACGTACTGCTTCTCGCCCGTGTGCGTCTCGAAGTGGGGAAAGCCGCACTGCCCGCACGCGTGCCGCCTGTCACCGGCGGTGCTTGCTGTCTTCTTGTCTCCTGCAAAGGTACGGACGGGCGGGGAGGACGGTGTGGTGGGAGCATTGTACAACAGGCGTCAGGGTCGGGATCGAACCCAGGACCTCCTGTATACCAGGCGAGGTAGTCAACGTCTCATAGCCACCGTGATGATGATGATGATGAGAGAGAGATCGAACCCACGACCTCCTGTATACCAGGCGAGGTAGTCAACGTCTCATAGCCACCGTGATGATGATGAGAGATCGAACCCACGACCTCCTGTATCCCAGGCGAGGTAGTCAACGTCTCATAGCCACCGTGATGATGATGAGAGAGAGATCGAACCCACGACCTCCTGTAGACCAGGCGAGGTAGTCAACGTCTGCTATCCACCGTGGTGCCACCGTGCTCACCAGCATCGATGTCTTGCAGGCTCTCCGTAGAGTCTGGCCGCTTCCCAAGCGCTGCATTATCGTCCATTTCTTGATTGACGAATCTGGCGGGGGGAATGCAAAGAAAAACAACGACAATGAACGTAGACAACCAAATACATAAATAATAAATATATAAATGTTGCGCCGTCGTTAAACCCGCCACCACCCGACACAGCCATTTAGTAAGGTTTAGTGCCAATTCATTACGCAGTACGGCACTACTGTGGAGTGTATAGTGTAGTGTATAGTTTATCCACCGGCTGTAGTAGTAGCTATCCAAACTCTATAATAGTACTAACTTCACAGCATGTAGTGGTGAGGCTTAGTCCCGTGCAGAGCCCCTAGCCTCGCCTAGATTGCCCAGCCGGCTGAGGTGGCACCTTTGCAGGCTGAGGCTGGGCTGCTACCCCCCCACCACCACCATCCCCCCACCCGCTCTACAATAATATCATCCAAGGACTATAATAGTAGTATCTACTGACCAGAGGTCACAAACGGGTTTTGATTCCTTACCCGTACCCGGTCGCACCAAGGTCGCAAACGGGTACCCGTACCCGTACCCGGCCGGGTACGGGTAGGGTACGGGTATCGGGTACCTGATTGCGACCTCTGGGATGAAGCCATGTTGCAGGCGCCAGTGGGTTGATTCTAGGAACTTGAATTGTGAGAAGAGACAAGACGTTGGGAAATGAGTGACAAACAGTTACTCACCAGTGATTCACGGTCTACCCGTACCCGGCCGCACCAGGGTCGCAAACGGGTACCCGTACCCGTACGGGTAGCCGGGTATCGGGTAGGGTACGGGTATCGGGTACCCGGTTGCGACCTCTGCTACCGACCCTATAGTAGTAAGTGCTGCACACTGGGGAGAAGAGGACATCACACTGAAGAATTCACCTCAGAATTCCGCCCCACCGATCACACTGAAGAATTCACCTCAGCGGTGGCGACTTTCTCGCGCATGCGCAGATGCGTGGCCTGGAACCACCCTGTGCTAATGAAAGGGAATACATTGTTAATTTAACCACTTTAAACTTGACAGATGTGAAATACGAATAGCGCTTTTCCGTCGCGGGGCATACGGTGTGGTATCTGTGTACTTTTTCGATGCGTAAAACCCCACAGTTTGTAAGTGAAACACGTCACAAGGTACCCGCGCAAACAGGCAGACAGACACACAGACGAAAGATGACTTTCATAGGTAGTGTATAGTGTAGTGTATAGTGTAGTGTATAGTGTAGTGTGTAGTGTAGTGTATAGTGTAGTGTGTAGTGTAGTGTGTAGTAGTGTATAGTGTAGTGTATAGTGTAGTGTATAGTGTAGTAGTGTATAGTGTAGTGTATAGTAGTGTATAGTGTAGTGTGTAGTAGTGTATAGTGTAGTGTGTAGTAGTGTATAGTGTAGTGTATAGTGTAGTGTATAGTGTAGTGTATAGTGTAGTGTAGTGTATAGTGTAGTGTAGTGTGTAGTAGTGTATAGTGTAGTGTGTAGTAGTGTATAGTGTAGTGTATAGTGTAGTGTAGTGTATAGTGTAGTGTATAGTGTAGTGTATAGTGTAGTGTATAGTGTAGTGTATAGTATAGTGTGTAGTAGTGTATAGTGTAGTGTATAGTGTAGTGTATAGTGTATAGTGTAGTGTATAGTGTAGTGTATAGTGTAGTGTATAGTGTAGTGCAAGGCCGTAGCCATGGAGACAACATTGGGGGGGCCAGATTTTCCAGGTGTCTGGGGTCCTCCCCCCCAGAAAAATATCTAAATTTGAAAACTAATTTCCTGCCATTTCCTGCCTAAAACATTTACAAATTCACCAACACATGGGATGGACTTTTTATAATTATTTTTTTTTACAATGTCTAACAGTGTATTGTATTGCATTGCTCTGTTTTAACTTTGTTTTTTTTAACCATTTCTTGCTTTATTGTATGTAATGTTTGAGATTACGGATTAATAAAGTACAACCACAATCATATCAACAGAAATCTATGCGTTGATTTACATGAAGGCAAGTCCAGATATTGTGACCAAGGTTTAGCAAATTGTTGTTTTTATTTACAAAGCATTAAATTAACTTGTTTTTTAAAATATAAATATATAACATAATTACGTCTTTGACGTATAAACTCCTCACGTGATCTTACTAGCTCTACTACCCGGCCGCCTTTGTCTCCCCAGTGGCGATGTTCACACACCACTCCAGTTACTGCTTTGAGGCTGAGGCGACGTGACGTGGAGTTTTTTCCCGCCAAATCTTTTAGGCTCCTCCCCCTCGCCCGCCCCCATTTGAGGGGGGGGGAGTAAAGGCGGTTGCCATGGTTTTTTGTTGATAAATGTGCAGTGTTGAGTCTATGGGCAGTGTTGAGTCTATGGGCAGTGTTGAGTCTATGGGCAGTGTTGAGTCTATGGGCAGTGTTGAGTCTATGGGCAGTGTTGAGTCTATGGGTGGCAGTGTTGAGTCTATGGGGCAGTGTTGAGTCTATGGGTGGCAGTGTTGAGTCTATGGGCAGTGTTGAGTCTATGGGTGGCAGTGTTGAGTCTATGGGCAGTGTTGAGTCTATGGGGCAGTGTTGAGTCTATGGGCAGTGTTGAGTCTATGGGTGGCAGTGTTGAGTCTATGGGGCAGTGTTGAGTCTATGGGTGGCAGTGTTGAGTCTATGGGGCAGTGTTGAGTCTATGGGTAGTGTTGAGTCTATGGGTGGCAGTGTTGAGTCTATGGGCAGTGTTGAGTCTATGGGTGGCAGTGTTGAGTCTATGGGGCAGTGTTGAGTCTATGGGTGGCAGTGTTGAGTCTATGGGCAGTGTTGAGTCTATGGGTGGCAGTGTTGAGTCTATGGGGCAGTGTTGAGTCTATGGGTGGCAGTGTTGAGTCTATGGGGCAGTGTTGAGTCTATGGTGCAGTGTTGAGTCTATGGGTGGCAGTGTTGAGTCTAGGGGCAGTGTTGAGTCTATGGGCAGTGTTGAGTCTATGGGTGGCAGTGTTGAGTCTATGGGGCAGTGTTGAGTCTATGGGTGGCAGTGTTGAGTCTATGGGGCAGTGTTGAGTCTATGGGGGCAGTGTTGAGTCTATGGGTGGCAGTGTTGAGTCTATGGGGCAGTGTTGAGTCTATGGGCAGTGTTGAGTCTATGGGTGGCAGTGTTGAGTCTATGGGGCAGTGTTGAGTCTATGGGTGGCAGTGTTGAGTCTATGGGGCAGTGTTGAGTCTATGGGTGGCAGTGTTGAGTCTATGGTGCAGTGTTGAGTCTATGGTGCAGTGTTGAGTCTATGGTGCAGTGTTGAGTCTATGGTGCAGTGTTGAGTCTATGGGCAGTGTTGAGTCTATGGTGCAGTGTTGAGTCTATGGTGTTGTGTGAGTCTATGACAGTGTTGAGTCTGTGGTGCAGTGTTGAGTCTATGGGCAGTGTTGAGTCTATGGTGCAGTGCCGATCCGATTGTGTCGAGAAGATTCTAGAAGAATGGATCATTTGTGTCGTTGTGTATCCCCATCGTCTGTGAACTCGCGCTTCAATTCGGTCGTTTTCCCTTCGTCTCGTTGCGTCTCTCTGCCGCTGCTGATCGAATGGCCGGCGATACCCCCTGCCTGCTGATCTCCACGTCGTCGTCGTCGTCGTCAGCCACGCTCGATCCTCCGCGGAAACGAAGACCTCCCCCCAATCCACGGCCATCTCTCACCAGTCGCGTGACCGCGCACCGACGACGTCACGTCTCCCACCTGCGCTTATTTATAAATGTGTCATTTGTAAATGTATTTAGTCGTCAAGTCGGGGAATCTTATCACCACTTTCCCATCGCCCAGCTATCTCCCAGCCATCTCCCAGCGCCAATCAATGCCTATTCTCTTCTCATCTTTCTCTCTCTCTCTACGCATCTCTACATTCTCTCTCTCTGTCTGCCCGTGCACCCCCATCTCACGCTCTGCTCGACACCGCAGGATCCCCGCACGAAGACACGTACTGCGCCCCGTGCCCTTGGGGATTCTTCTCCCCGGAGGTATCGGCGAATGCCACGTGCCGCCCGCACGCAAACTGCCTCACTCCGGGCTCCGTGCAGCTGCTGCCCGGAGCCTCCACGCACGACGCGCTCTGCTGGTCCTGCCACGAGCGACGGGCGTCCGTGCGGAGTCGGGAGCATGGGGACGCGAAGCCGGCAGGTGAGCCGCTTGCAATGACCGCACTCCCGTTCACGTGTTTCATACGGACGTATCGTTTTAGCGGCAACCGTAGATCGATGGCATAGTCGGAGAAGCAGCTGCTGGCTTCGGAGGGCAGTGGATGCCACACTGGGTCATTTCATTTCATTTACACCTGATGACGATTGCTTGTGTTGCAATTGAAACGTCGTATGCCGGTAGCAAGACGCGTCGCCTCTCTTCCCTCCGCAGGGGAAGATGGTGCCGAGCCTCCGTCGTCTAACCCGCCGCCCCAGCCGGAGTACGCGTGCGTGGACGCGACCCTGCGATTCGTGGACAGCGTCGGTCACCTGATTCTGCCGTGCCTGGCCCACCACGACACGAAGGAGGCCGCCTACATCTGGAAGCTTCTGGCCGGTGCCGCGAGGCGGCGGCGGCGGGAGCAGGAAGGGCGCAGGCAGCGTGGGGGGAACGAGACGAAGCGGGCGAGGAGGTTGGAGAGGCAGCTCGAGATGCTGCTGGGGATTTGCGCAAAGGGAGCGTCGCCAGGAGGGTCGGTGAGAATGCACGCGGCGGCGACGGCGGCGGCGGACTGAATGTGGTCGAACAAGATGGGGGGAAGGGCCTTTGAAATGGTCATGTTAGTCAAAAAACCAAGTTTGAGGACGTCCATTTTCTTGGTTCTTTCGGTAAAGTCACGTAGAATGGAAATAACAAAATAATAAAAATATAATAAAATATATTATTATAAATAATTAAAATAAGAAAATTTTAGAAATTAAGCATAATGAAATATATTATTATATTACTTTTTAATGCTTTATTTTATTATTTCCCTTCTAGGTGACTTTCGTGACTGCAGGGATTCATCTTCTTGGTTCTTTCGGTAAAGTCACGTAGAATGGAAATAATAAAATAATAAAAATAAAACATTAAATATATTATTATAAATAATACAAATTATATAATTATACAATTTAAGCATAATAAAATATTTTATTATATTATTTTATAATGTTTATTTTATTTTATTATTTCCATTCTACGTGACTTTACCGAAAGAACCAAGAAGATGAATCCCTGCAGTCACGAAAGCTTTAAATCGAAATTTGAGGAGGTCTTCTACTGAAATTGGCTCAGGGCTCAGAAACATTGATATAGCAACCAAAGAGATGTTGCATTTAAATCCATGTGTCAGCTGCCCAAGCGTGGATACATTGGCTTCTTAAGTCCAGTGAGTTGACTGCAAGAAATTTGCCATCTTGAAGTTGATTAGTCAAATAATTCTGGGTCTCAGAATTAAAAATATTGGTTTGAATTTCGATTTAAAGCTTTCGTGACTGCAGGGATTCATCTTCATGGTTCTTTCGGTAGAAGGGAAATATTAAAATAATAAAAACATTCCTTCCCTTTATTAATGTTACCCCTATCCCCTCCCTTTCATGCTGCTAATCCGGCATAATGCACGGGCATAATATGACTTTAAAAACCCCTGCCCACCTCCTACGCATTTCACAAGTAGTGACTAATCCCATATCTGCATTTCCCATAAATATGCAAAATTCCTCTTGATATGCAAATTATTTTGTCAAGGCGCTCTTCCTCCTCCAACCCAGCTTAAATATACGCTCCAAGCCTGGGGTGTTTCATTCAGACGCTGTCTTCCCGACAGACCTGTTCTTCACCTGAGAACGGCTTCTTGCGTTGTGGCCGAAACGTCGTGAGAATTGTATTGTTTTATTTTTATTATTTTATTATTTCCCTTCTACGTGACTTTACCGAATGAACCGAGAAGATATATATTGGTTTGTTCGCCATGCGTGTAGGGAAGCTGTGGCT